GTATATGTATGGGCAAATCTAAAAAACTAGTAACTTTTGTGTTCGTTTGCTTAATGTTTATTAATGTTTTTTAAAAGTGTAGTTAGTTATATAATATCTAGCACTTTATAAATCCACATTTCAAACTTTGAAGAGAAATTAAAAAAAAAATCAAAACAACAAACTTTGTATTCATAATTTTTAGAAAAATTCCAAGACATATGCAGTTTTGTATGTAGCCATGGTGAAATAAAAATAAGGTGTTGTTACTTAGGGGGTGGTTGTTGTAATTTTGGCAATTTCAGCATACCAGCGTTACAATAATGCCTACTCTATTTATTCCAATTTCATTTCTGGGCAAATTGGAACAAAAAATGGAGCAGACAATTTTGTGAAAAAAGTATGCGCAGGTACCACTGTTTCTTTGTTTCCTTTTACTTTGACCTTTCGTTTCAAATTCATTGGAAAATTTGAGCGATAATTTCTAATAATTATGATTTTGTAAGTAAATTTTTGGTGAAATATATACTATATACATATATCCAACATATTATTAGAGCAGTGCCTCGGATGGCTACGATAATGCACTTTGGTCTAACAATTTAAACGCATAATTATTTTATAATATAACTGATAGAATTCAGAAATGTAATTTTAAAATGGTAACGAAAATAAAGGCCGTAATAAAATTCCTTTTAAAGTTTAGATATTTAAAAACTAAGTACGCATATACATGTACTTCAGAACTTAAGGAAAAAATACAAATAAGATTCCATACTTGCTAATATGTCAATTTTATTAGAATTTAAGAATAATTAAGTAAAGAGAACGGTATAATTTAATTTGTTTTAATATGAATAAATGAAAGACGGAAAATAGTCCTTGTTTTTTAAGTTTTAGCGGCCTTTTAAGTTTTACAAATAATACTTTTAAGGTAGAAAAATTAAACTGAAAAATAATTATTAAAATCAATATATTTGATCGAAAATATAAAAACTAAGTAATAATAATTTCTTTTGAGCGAAAAAATTAAACTGTAATTACACTGGTTTACAGAAAAAATATTTTATTGATACAAGCTTCATTTAACTGGTGCGGGGTCCACTGATATATGTATGTATTGGAAATAGTACCCTAAAAGTAGTAAAAATAATCCTAATCTTTCCCCCCTTTTTCTACTGCTCCAAAATGCATTACCGCAATTGGCATGCAGAAAAAGTGAGGTTATGTTAGTGACATCACCTTATATTTATTTCACCATGGTATGTAGCATATTAATAATAAGAAGCAAGTTTCAATAGGCTAAGAATTCCCGTTGATTTTTGGTTATTCTTTTTGCTGACAGTGTTATTTTTTTCTTCTTCTGCATGACACCATCAGCAAAAGAAACTTCAAAAATCAACGGTATTTTGTAGACACTTCAAACTAGAATATTGTGCAACTTTTTTTAATTTTTCTAATTTTTATATTTACATGGCTTTTGTTAGACATATGATTTTTTGAGTTATAAATCAAAATAAATTGCAAGCTGCAGTTGCAGTTGACCGTGTTTGTCACAAAAGTAAAAAGTGGAAGAAAAATCGATAGTTAGTAATATAATCTACTGAAAAATTTTAACCAATTTTCCATGGAATTGAGATTCGGAAAAGGTATTAGGTATTATTCATATTTTTGAAATATATGTACATATATCACGAAAGCAAATAATAACAAATAATTTTTAAACAAAAAACAACCAGCCAACCAACCAAATGGCCAATATTGAGATATGCAACGCTGTGTTTGTACTAAACAAACAAGATTTAAATAAAGTTGATCTGAAAACCAACGAAAATTAAATGGCATATAAATAACAATCCAAAATTAGACTTCAAATAATAATATTCGTATGAATTATGCCAGATGCGGTAACCAATCCGAGTGGACCCTTGAGTCACGGCAGAAAGAGGTAGAGCTTCGGTCGGGCTACTCCGACTTGTTCGGATTGAGGGCTCAATGAAGTCTGCAGCGTCTGTTCACCAGTAGGTGCGGCTGAAAACGGCTGTCTGTGTTGAAGCAAGCGGCTCGCTATATAAACGTGTATTCGGTTTCGAAACCATCACCGCCCCAGCAATGGGTAGTGCGCTGGGTTTAGGACCCGCAACGTAAAAACGGGCTCCAATGAAAAATAGACACAAAGCCTCGGATGAGAACCCCCTTTCGATGACGACCACAGAAAACGTTTAAAGGACTACGATTTGAGGACATGCACCTAGAATGTCCGGACCCTTAATGGGGAAGGTGCGTCTGCCCGGCTGGTTGATGTCCTCGTAAGGAAAGAAGCTGACATCACCACCATTCAAGAAATGCGTTGGACGGGGTAAGGCAAAGAATTTCTGGGGCCTTGTGACGTCTACAACAGTTGCCACGTAAAGGATTTGTGGGGGGAGAGAAACTTCGTCGGCGAGTATTGTCGTTCACCCCGGTGGACGAGCGTCTAGCCATAATCCGCATCAAAGCGAGATTCTTCAACATCCTGCTAAACTGCGCCCATGCCTCGACGGAAGAGAAGGACGAGGCGTCCAAGGNAAGAAGCTGACATCACCACCATTCAAGAAATGCGTTGGACGGGGTAAGGCAAAGAATTTCTGGGGCCTTGTGACGTCTACAACAGTTGCCACGTAAAGGATTTGTGGGGGGAGAGAAACTTCGTCGGCGAGTATTGTCGTTCACCCCGGTGGACGAGCGTCTAGCCATAATCCGCATCAAAGCGAGATTCTTCAACATCCTGCTAAACTGCGCCCATGCCTCGACGGAAGAGAAGGACGAGGCGTCCAAGGATCTTTGCTATGAGCGCTTGTCGACTTCAATGCCAGGGTGGGCAAAGAAGGGATCTTTGGAACCACCGTCGGAAAATTCAGCCTCCACGATAAAGCGTCCGACAACGGACTAAGACTGATCGACTTTGCCGAGGCCCGATACATGGTAGTATGCATACAAGGATCCATCAAGCTACGTGGTTGTCTCCAGAAAAACAACAAGCAAAATCGATCTTGTTGTGATAAGATAAGCACCCGTCTCTGTGCAGCAAAAATGTGCGCACAAATATGCAAGGAAAGTTTAACGTCGAAAAGCTGCATTCATAACAGACAGCCAATGCATTCGCTACTCGACTCTCACACCTGCTCACAGAGAGCACTCTTCAACAAACCGACACATGCGAGCAGTGGAACCACATTTCCTGCTTATTAAGCACCGCCGCCGAAGAAGTAGTCGAATTTCAGCCAGCCCGAAAGAACCACTGGTACGATGGGGAGTGTCAGGAAGCGGCATCCGCTATACGGATCTGAAGAGGGAAGCGAGACGTACCTGCTGCAATAAGAAGAGAGAGGCCGAAACACGTGAGTTCGAAGAGCTTGAAATGCTGGCCGACTGGAAGAATGCCCGAAAATTTTACCAAAGAGTTAGGCGGCTTACGGAAGGTTTCAAGACCAAGGCGTACTCCTGTGAGAACAACAATGGCGACCTAGTTACCGATGTTCAGAACGTACTTAAATTATGGAGGGAACACTTTTCCACCCTTCTGAATGGTAGCAGCATGGAAATTTGTGGAGAAGAAGAATCCGAGCCCCCATACGATGATGACAGAGTCGATGTTCCTCGCCTGACTATAATGAGGTACGAATAGCAATAACACGGCTGAAAAACAACAAAGTTGCTGGAACTGACAGCCTGCCAGCTAAGCTATTCAAGTACGGTGGCGAGGAGTTGATAAGGTGCATGCATCAACTCTTATGCAGAATAGTGTCAGAAGAACGCTTGCCTGACGACTGGAATTTATGTGTGCTCTGCCCAATCCACAAGAAAGGCGACCCCGCCATTCGCGCCAACTACCGCGGGATCAGCCTTCTAAGCATAGGTTACAAGGTCTTATCGTGCGTATTGTGTGAAAGACTGAAGCCCACTATCAACGAACTGATTGGACCTTATCTGTGTGACTTTAGACCTGGCAAATCCGCCATAAATCAGGTTTTCACAATACGCCAAATCTTTGAAAAGACCCGCGAGAAAAGAGTCGACACTCACCACCTATTTGTCGACTTTAAAGCCGCTTTCGACAGCACTAAAAGGAGTTGTCTATACGCCGCTGTCTGAATTTGTCATCCCGTCAAAACTCATACGGCTGTGACGTTGAACAATACCAACAGCTGTTGCAGACTTATAGGCTCTTTTGGGACTTACCACATTTTCTCTTTNACATTGCAGACTTATAGGCTCTTTTGGGACTTACCACATTTTCTCTTTATGACTTTGTTCTTTTAATGTGAACTTGGCACATTTTCTATCAACCTGTTTTTAATTATTTTTTATTGTTAAAAGATTTCGTTTTTTTTGTTAAAATATATTTTAGTGTTTAAAAATGATTAATAACCTGATAGAGTCTTATTTCATTGCTGTTAACAAAAATAATTATTTTATATTACGCCTTATCATGAGTTTCATTTTCCCCGAACCGGTTCACTTTTCACGTTTGGTTTCCATGTATTTATTACACTGTGAGACAAATGGTAGGGGTCAGTGATCGGGAAGGGTTCAAACTACCGGGGAAAGTTATATCGGTAAAAAAGAAGTTATACGTGTCCCGGCGTTTCGCTGGGTCACGTCTAGGAATCGAGATATAT